TTTTCACATATATAAAGTATGAAATTCATGACTAAGGAGACAGTTTAGTACAAGGTTGTTGATATGATTGACAATAATACCTCTGTATGGGTCTGAAACTTGGCACGAGCGCCAAGAAAAGCATTCCCAGCTGGTTGCAGACTTTACTCAACAGCTGTCTTCGTTTCATATTGAAGATCAAATGGCTAGAAAGAATTAACAATAAGGAACTCTGAGAACAAGCCAACCAAGAACTTACTGCTCAACAAATATTCCGAAGGAAATGGAGATGGGTCGGACACACGCTGAGGGGACCGTTGAGTGACATCACGCGACAGACAGACCTTCGAGTGAAACCCGAACGGGAAACAACGAGTTGGGTTTTCGGGGGTGGTATGAAGGAAATCGTGTGCGGAGATGGGAGTCTATGGGAATCGTGTAGGCAACTACAAAGGACAGGAGAAAGTGAAGATGCGCTGTTGAGTCCCTATGTTCCACTCGGAACCCAGGGGAAAATAATAATGACCTACTGGTGCCCATAATGTACCAAGTTTGCATTTTGATAAATGAGCTATTTACTGGAGGAATATATAGAGATGAGACCATTGGTTTAAGCATTCCACTTCAGTCAGACGGGGTCCATTATTCGAATCCCTCTCCACCTACTTCTTAACATTGGATAACTGGGTAGTATGATCAGTCATTACATAATAAGTGTGATTCACAGCCTTGGCGCCTAAGAAATCTGATCCAGGCTACTTACCAACTCGCTCTAAATAACACAAGAATGTATGCCTCACTCCTACAGATCTCTTCAAGTGGACAAATACAACAAGTCAGTAGAAAATATCACAGACGACAGCGCTACGTTCCAACATTTCAGTTCAGTAGTATCAACAATAGGAAACATGATAGTCTCGATTAACAGGCTCTGAAGAAACAAAATAAACATTTTTTGTAATCAAATCGGTGAAACAACACATAGGTAGGTAGAGTATATCTAAAATGTACCGGTGGTAATATTAGACCAAAGAAGAAAACAAAAAACCAGTCCACTTGTAATTCAAAATTCAAAACAATATCAACACGACACTCAACAAAGAACTGAACACAACAATCGTTGAATATTCGCCCACACACTCCCCACACACACACACAAGAAGTAACAAATCCTACGCACATGACAAATGAGGTAGGTAGGTAATTAGATGATGATAAACAAGTGAATTCGAGTCAGCCTAGTTTAAAACTAACCAGTCAGACGAGTATGAAATAGTTTATCGATCGAAATCAATATAAATCAAAACACAAAGAAACAGATGTCCTAGTAAAATTGTCTGTGTGTGTGTGTATGTATACATAATAGTCACAGTTAGTTAACTGCTATTATTATGGATTGCCTGCTCATTGTTCAACATTAATGAACACATACAAAGAAGGACCTTGGTTGTGTGTCTGTGTGTGTATGTATGCATGTATGGATTGGATGATTAATCTGTTTTGCTCTGTCTCCCTCTCATCATCATCATCATCGTCATCGACATTATTGATTAGATGATAGAAATTACAGACACGATAATCATAATGATAATAGAAATAACAAAATTCAAAAAAAAATTTGAAAATTATCGATCGATAGGGTAAGAATTAATTCATAGGAAATCTATATAGGTACAACATAAGATTAAGCGATGTGGATGAAACAAATGACCTTGGAAAGTAACGACAACCAATCATATCGAAAAGACAGGATAGGGGGGGGGCAGAGAGAGGCTAAAACTGTATACAAACCAATTCAGATTTGATTGAATAACTGAAGGCTAAACTAAAAAGCAAAGTTGTAGGGTTGAGGAGAAAAAACACATTTTCTTCAATGTTAAAAAAAGCTGACTCATCATCATCAATCACCGTTGTGATCAATCAAATCATGCCGACGAAAATCATGCTGATTTTATGTGAAATTTATTTTGAATGTGACAAAAATTTCAGGTTTGAAGTAAGCTGTCAACCAGGGTAAAATACATTGAGGCGTATTTGATCATCAAAAAGTGCAAGTGATGACAAAGCTGATTAGGTTTTTAAATTTAAATTGACTACCTTCATGATTAACTGGTAGTAACTATTTGGCAATTACAAAATACTAAGGGCAAATTCCATCCTAGTCGGGAACTCTTCATTGGTGTATACTCACGATCCTGTAACAGATCAGATGAACTTCAGGATCTTCAGACGATGGGACGAACATGTTACCATTTGGCCACGAGGATTGTAGTTTAGTGGGCAAACAATTTCCAGCTGACGTCATGACCACTAGGAAGTTCAACTTGAGATATGTCGATTTCCTACAAACTTGGCAATCGAGTTCCAAGCCTACTACTCATTGGAAATTACCGCTGGGACGATTTCGTCAAAGTTCCAAATTGAAATTACAACTGACAGAAAGCACTGCGCCGGGACAGTTACTAACGGTAATCATACCAACCGACAGAATTTTGAAATCAAAGACCAGTGGGCATTGTCTATTTTAGTGGACGCGTGTTGACATACTCATGTTGAACTCTGGTAGTTCTGAACTTGACCTCCCACCTGCTACCTGTGGGTGTATAATGCCGAAGGGTCTCGAAATAAGGATGTGACAGACTTCCGATTAGTTTTCTAGCTGATGCCAATTAGCGGTGAAGGTCACACAAAAATCAATAACTTGAATAATTTTCTAAGAGTAAATAAACAAAGTCATGAGTAATCAATTTTTTTCAACTAGTCAAGAGTATTTATTACTTGTTTTTAGGTTAATTTGCATTTCCCCTTGATTATGTTTCCGACCGAAATGCTCTGTTGACATGCCGGCTCCTGGTACGAAGCTTCCACGATGCCTAAGCACTAATGTGAACTTATCTCGATCGATGTGATGACTAACAGTTGTATCCAGGATGCAGATTTCGTCCTATTTGAGATCTGTCAGCTGGATGTGCCTGCATTCCCCTAGTGAGTGATAGTATTCCCCCACAATGAGATTCGGACCCATCTCCCATCTTTACAAACGCCAAAGTAATGTTCACCATTAGGCCACGAGGGCCGTCTCTTGTCCAACGGGTATGAGTTAAATTTATTTGGTTAATTATGTTAAGCTGGAATGCTCGGTTACTGGATTCCATTGCTAGTCATCACCAACCGAAATAACTTAAAAAGTACTTATTAGTGGTTACATAATTATGAATTTTCATACAGAAAAAAATATTAATCAATTGGGTGATTTATGAGTTTCCGAATGAACCAGTCAACACTGGTTAGTCCAACCACTTAGCAAAACAGCTTCACCTTAATCTGTATACATTGCTGAAACGTCTGTACGAGGAGCCAACATGTCCACAAGCAATGAGCATTTCTATCCGACAAAATCAATTAATGGGAAATGCAAAATTAACCTAAAAATAAATAATACATGCTATCCATTGTACAAGAGGTGGTTCTCATGCTCTAGTGGTGGATAATACTTTAGCGTTTGAAACGATGAGCGTAGGCTTTGAGTCTCAGTTGAAACGCAGCCACCACTCACTAATGTAAAGCAGGTGCATCCAGATGACAAGTCCTACAGAGGATGAATTGTGCATCCTGGATTCCACTGTCAGTCACCATCAACCAAAATGATTTCAAAACAGTGTTTTTGGTTCAGCTAGCGAATACTACTGCCTGGTAGGAATGATTCCCAAATACTCATATCAATTACTAGTATAGATAGCGTGCATGATCAATAAAGTAGACATTTTTATGCTTACACTCATTGTCAGCGTTATAACTGTCTACTGAAATATTAAGTTACATTTACTGTCAGGTTTATTGCAGATTCAGTACATGGAGCAAGAAGGTTAGAACTCAGGTTGAAAGCCAGATGCATAAACTAATGATCTACAGGCTTATGTATCGATGATCTTAAATCACCACTATGTAAAACAATCAAGAAAAAAACGAACGCCTTTCTAATTAAAAAAACTTTGTAGTAGAATGATACAGAAACTATTTTATTTCAAGCTTACTGGAGTACTATAGAAATATAGTAGGCAAAATAACTTATTGTAGTAAAACGATGACCTGAGCCTTATAGTTCAAAAGACAGAGCACCGTGTTAGCAATGATGTGGAGGCCATAGCTTCGGATCACATTGCGACCTGAGTTTTCATTTCACCCTTAATCATCTTTTACTGCATACATTATGTGCAACAGTTCAAATGTGAAAGGGGACATTAGTTCCTTTAGGGTTGCAGATATATACACCCTGCTGATGAATACCAACAAGTGCGAAACCTAGACCTATGGCTTCTTGCTGATTTCCTCCAACAATCTAACAAAATTTGATAAAAGTTAGCAGAAGAGAGAAACTCTGCTTGAAATAAAAAAAGCCTAGTTGTATCATTAACTCTCCAAGTAAAGAAATTGACGTAGAAATTTGTACAGAAGAAAATTTGTAAAGGTTATTACACTTTTAACTACATATATAGATCAATAAAGATTTCCCCCAGGTGTTTTATTTCAGTGAATAAAATGACATCTGAATAAGGGTCTTATCGTCCAAATAATAATCGTAATGAATTCGATAGGGAAAATGCAGCTGACGATCAGTAGTTTAGATTACTTGGCCTGTAACTACTGAATTACGGGGCCAACTGCCACTGAACTTTTCAAGTTTTAGGCAGCGCATTAATATAACTAGTTATGACGTAATAGGCAGAGCCATTTCTCTCTCTGTGTGTGTGATGGTTCTCTTGATTTCCAGAAAAGGACTGAAAGTGATATCTGAGAGAGGCGTCTACTGAATGATTACTAGATGAATAGTTTTAACAATAATATCAATATTCAAGATACGGATATGAGAAAAAAACAATGAAAACGCTTAAAAGTGAGATACTGTCTGTTGTCTAGTGCGTTTATATGGAATAACCCATTATAATATTACACTCTTCCTTTATATTCTTGTCACTAACGTGAAGAATGGAGAGAAAAAAACAACAACATTATAAGCTTACCCCATTAATCGTTTTAACTGTCTACCACAGCGTTTAAGAATCTTTGATCTATAAACAGAACTTGAAGGTCGGCTTCCAGATGATTTTCTTCTGCTATGGATGTTGTTTGTAAAAGATTGGAAACTCTGTAGACGACTATTCATTGTATTGCGAATGGAGTGTGATTTGTCTTGCCCATTCATACAAACATTCTGAGGGTTATTCGAATTCAAGAGAATTACTTGATGTGTAGGTGTTACTAGGGATGCGTTAAGTTCTTCCAAAGTAGGCATTTTATGGTAAATGTAGAATATTGAATAATTTTTTCATAGTAAATGAATATTTACCTGTATACAAAAGGATAAAAAGTATTTCTGTTATAAGGTGTGGGAATTATGGTCGTGTTTGATTACGAAACGGTACAATTGACCAATAGAATTTCGGCCAGTCCTAAGGATTATAAATAAAGTGAAAACAATTATACCCTAGTTATCAATCACTATATCTTCTAAGGCATTTCAACAGGAAGTCAGCTGCAGTCTAAATAGCTCAATGGAATTACTGAATGACACAGCTCCGAACACATAAGAGAGTACCGGTTTCATCAAGGTTATATACAAGCCTTCTTGAAGTGCCGATAAGCGTGAAACGTAGGTCCCAGACTTCCTGTCACTTGCCTTTAGCTATCTAACAACCAAACTCCACAAAAATGTGCATCACATATATCCCGATAGCGTTGAAAAGCGATTCTTATAATAATATCAATTCGCATAGAACGCTGAATAAATAAAGAACTTCCTTTGCAATCTAATCACCCTATAATTATTGTCTCACATAGTTGCTTGTGTTATTCAAGAAATTTAATAGATATTATAATCAGAAATAAATAACTATTTAGAATGACAAGGCTAAAATACAAACTGAAGTAAAAAGGAATGTGAAGGAGCGATAAAACAGGTAAAATGCACAGATGAATTCATTGTGTAACACAGCCCAACAAATATTTGTTAATCCTGATTTCTTCCATTTTTTAAATTATATTATTTTTCTCCATTTCTCTCTCTCTCTCACTATTACACTGCTGCCCCTAATGACACTGATCTTGACGCTCAATTTTAGTTGAGTTCTGTTCAATCTTGACAATCACGTTACGTCACTCCACTTACTTAATTTTGTTTCAGTTTCTGTATTACGTAACTGCTGCATAAAACTTTCAATTCTAATGACACAACTTTGGAAAAATTCCTTTCATTGCATTATATATATATATGATTGTACAGCTTGAGAATATCGTCGAAAAGAGTAACTTCGCTGAATACCTTTCCATCTAAATTTGTTTTCGACTGCCTCAGTGTATATCTTCAAGTACTGCTTTCTAACTCTTAGAAGACTGTAATAAAGTAGCCCACAATCCCCTGCACAACATAAATCTTTAGTTAATGAAAATCACTTTACTGAATACTGCGTGGCCTCTGTCAGATAAACCCTATTAACTGACTTCAAGCAGTGAGGCTGTTCCTCACAAAAGTATAAGGGAGAATTTGAATGCCTGGTGAACAACCACGTCTACCCAGGAGGGCTGGAAAACACTGATTCCAAACTAGTTGTGGACATGGGCTCCTGAAGTCAACTGGATAGAATGGCGTTTGAATCTGGTTTGGTCATCAGAAACCATGGGGACGCAGCCGGTGACATTGTTCCACAGCAATGTGGGTCAGACTTCAAGTCAAAGGCTCCGGACTCCAGCCATTGATTTTTAACATTTCATACACTCCTACACCTCTTTACGTGACTTGGACCAATATTTGATGGATTTATGGATTGGTGCTATGTTTTTGTCTGACATTTTCTAACTCTTCTCACACTTTAACTAACATTGTTAAACGACAAAGGTGTTGACTCAGTATGAGTAAATCATGTCCAGACCAATTCAATCGATGCAGTTTCAGTCTCACCGATTGACTGCATTTTTTTATGACACATTACAATTAATTTCATTGTAATCACATCGGTTTGTATAAAATGAGAAATTGAGTGAAGTCACCCATGGTCAATTACATGTAGTCAAGAGCCAAAGATGACGCCAGATATACCGATTGGTTCCACATACTTGGAGGTAATAAGCAGGATGCCCTCAAGTAAGTTTCCGTGCTTTTTAGCACACATCAACAAGGCGTATTTACAGCCTTGTTGAACCCATGTCACCCAGTGCTGTAGTTACATACGTTGACGATTGGCCTGATGTAGGATTGTAATGTATATGTTGACTGGTTACTAACTCTGACTTACCTAAAAAAATTATATCATCTGCGTTCTCACGGTATGTATCAAGACGTAAAAGACAGCCACAGTCGCATGCATCAGTAAGTCCCTGACAACACTAAATCAAAGATCGTACATCTTTGAAAAACTCCACTGGTTACCATCACTCTAGACAACGGCTCTCTATAAGCTTTTATGCGGCTGCATGAGCTGGGCTGTGCCATGATTAGAATTATATACTTTCCTCGCAATAAGTTAGAGACCAAACGTCAACGAGACCTCACAATTGACGAAATTCAATACCACCTTTAGACAAGGAAACATGGCAAGTGCTGGATGCTTGTATGACAAGAATGTGTCAGTATTAGGATCAGGTCAGCGCACTCAATCGGATCTGAAAACTACACGGTTTTCTTGCGTTTGTTTCCCAAGTCCTAACTAGTCTTTTTAGAACTATGGACTCAAGGATTTTAGATACAAACAAATGCGAATAGTTAGCAGAATAACAACTATTAGTGGTGATCATGCAGCACCTTGATGTAATTTCTGCACTACAAACTTACACAGGAGCTTTTCTTCTCTACATTCATAGTTTTTGTTAAAAATCAGTTGACTGGAACAAATTTTTCAGGTACCAGGACATGAGACACATTAACCGTGTAAGGGCTGGTGATATTGTCGGGTTGCCTAGATTGAAGGTGGAGCGGCACTAGAGTTCGGACTAACTAGCTGAAAGTGGAGTGGTAACAGCTTTCGGCTATTCAGATGCAGTTATTCCTTTAAACATGTTGAAGACCCTTGTATGTAATGTGTATAGCAGCTGTTGAGAATAGGTTTTAGGAGATTTAGTCACATAGGTAACAGCTGTACAGATGTATACTCTTTACCAAACTCGTCGTCACCATTTCCTACTTAATTATTCCCTGCACCCATGCGTTCGATATGATGCCACTCTAAATTTGGTCTGTATTGTTTAGAAGCTTGGCAATTTGAGTAAGTGAACTTTCATGTACGGTTTTATGTTAATTCGTCCTCCAACAAATGAACTGTGCAAAAATCAGTATACTAAAAATTGAATCTGAAGTTATCATAGAACTATAGGGGGGCTAAGTAAATGCTCAACTTCAAATTTTAAGAGGGACAAACTATGAAATCCTGCAGTTTTCGTTGACATAAAATGTAATAAAGGCCTTAAAAATAGACAAAAAGTTATTATTGAAAACTCGGAGACCTCAAAAATGCTATGAACTAGAGACTTGAAGGAGTAAGAGAATTGACACCTATGGTTGGAGCGCAGAGCTTCATGAGAGCTAGCTCAAGTGGGGGTAGAAATGAATTTTAGTGGAGTATTAAGTTGAAAACAATACAGGATTTACAAAACGTTTCATTCTTCAAGCAAATATATTGGTCAGCATTGACTCCGAGTGTACTTAAATATTTGACGTTTATCACTTAACCCTTAAACCTATATCTGCGCCAGACGTTTTTATTAAAGTGCTAGTTTTGACCCGGAGTTTCTGTGATGAGTCTGAGGATTTCGCTAGTTTGGTACATTAACGAACAAAAGTCTTAGCTACTTAGAATGTATGACAATGATGTTAACCTCAATTTATTTGTACATGAACTATAATTTAAAAGATAACTGTTCATTACAAAGTCATAGTATATACACCAAAAAGGATTAATCCAAACGGCTGGTAAAAATTTTTAGTTGCAAATTGGCCCAGGTAAAATGAGCGATAAGTCATTTAAGTAGCTAAATTTCATTTAATTAGTACACTTGAGTGGAAAAAATCAATAAAAGTGGGTGTATTTTAACATAAATCAACAAAGATACTTACAAAGCATTCGAAAGATTAAACCCAAACGACCTTGACGTCAAACAGTTTGAAAGCAGTTTACCTTGATATTTTAAATAACTAAACAATAACAGTTTCCAATACCTTAATAGATTCAACAACTAAAGGACAAATTGGTAAATTTTCTTCGAATACAATGACAGCTAAGTATTTGCCTCCGGGTGGTACAAACCTATAAGCCAGTCCTATATCCTATATCCTATATCCTGATTACGAGCTAGTATAAACCAGTGATTTCTTTGAGCTCGCTTCTTGATTTTAAGGTAGAGGTTCCAGATCTTCGGTGAACTTATGCGTAGTAAATCCCGCCACTCGACTGCTTTAGCTCTGGTAGACTCCAGGAGGAGTGATGCGAGGATTGGTCAAGATTGTGGTTTGTAGTGTGCAGTATGTTAGGACTCAGCTGCTGCCGTGAATGGAGTTTGACCTAACACCCGTCGGTCATTCGGTATAGTCATAAAAGTAGAGTAATAATAATAATAATGATAATAATAGGTTGTAGTGTAGATAATATAGGTTGAGATAAGTGAAATAATAAAGAAAGAAAGATAGAGTAGTCGGTACAGTGGGAGAAGACAGGACGGGTCGTGAAGATTTAGCTTGTATTCTTATCCATTGACAATGTGGTTTCAAATTTTAAGAGGGTAAGCCATTGAGACACAAACCATGCATTTCTGCATGATTGTCCAGCTTCCGCTTAAAAATCTCCACAGATGGAGCTGTAGTTACGGCCGCCGGTAAAGCGTTCCAGAGACGGCAAACTCGAAGCGAGAAGAAATGTGAACGCACTCGAGTCCTTGGTCTCTGGTGTGCTATCCTTAGCGGGTTACCTCGTGGAAGCCTATAATCACTTAATGGCAGGATGCTCTTGTTAGGATGGGCCTGGTCATTTAGGATCTTATAGACGGTGATGAGGTCTCCCCTGTGACTACGGTAACTAAGTGTGAAAAGACTTAATTTCTTCAGTCTCTCCTCATATGATTTGTTGCGGAGGCCGATCACCCATTTTGTCGCTCGTCTCTGGACACTTTCTAGCATGTTAGCATCCCTTTTGAGTAGCGGAGGAGCAATGATATTATGCACCTCAAGGAGTGGCCTCACGTATGTCGTATACAACGTTAGGAATAGTTCAGGAGTAAGAGCTCCCAGTTGCCTATGCATAAAGTGTAAAGTGCCGTAAGCTTTGGCGACGTCCCTCGTGTAATTTACACTGGTGTCTAGCTTTTCTGTTAAAATAAGGCCTAGATCGCGTTCTGATGGCACACAACTCAAGTTCTGGCCACCAAGAGTGTAATTTGCACTCTGTGACCTGCCGGAATGAAGTTGCACTACTTTGCACTTCTTTAAGTTGAAAGGCATTCCGTTAGCCAGAGCCCAGTCCCCCAGCGTTTGCAGGTCAGCCTGCAATCTGTCGGAGTCTTCCGATGAGTTTATTGCTCTCCAAATCTTTACGTCGTCAGCGTAAAGAAGCGCAGAGCAATTCAGTTGACAGGGCAGGTCATTGATAAAAATCAAAAACATCAACGGCCCTAAGATAGAACCCTGAGGAACCCCTGATGCCGAGGTGTGCCAGGATGATCGGATGCGGTTGACTTTGGTGCAGAATTCTCTCTCGCCTAAATAATCTTCCAGCCATGCGAGAAGTGCTCCAGAAACACCCGCTTTGCTTATTTTGTGAAGGAGCAGACCATGGTGAACTGTGTCGAATGCTTTCGCAAAGTCGAGAAAGATCACATGGACTGGTACCTTTACATCCCAGGATAGTGTCCAATCGTTCCAAGCTAGTAGAAGATTCGTCACACAGGATCTCCCCTTCCTGAAACCATGCTGTGCTTCATGGAGTAGGTTAGTCCCGTCGAAGTATTTTCTCATGTGGTCGTCAATGAGACTTTCGAATATCTTCGATATCACTGGGAGTAGCGCAACTGGTCTGTAACTGGTCGCGTTCTGCCGGTCACCACCCTTGAAGATAGGGGATAGGATGGCTCGTTTCCATTCACATGGAAGTTTCCCTACATCAAAGGAGTGTTGAAACAGATCACTTAGGGGTTGGCAGAGACTTTCTGAACACTGCTTCAGGACGGATGGTCTTATGTCGTCGCAACCTGCAGACTTTCCCGAAGCCAACTTTCCCAATTTTATGAGTACCATAGCCGGGGTAATTTGAAATGTACCCAGCAGGTTTTCGCACGTTGGTCTTGCATTGTAATCTTGATGTTTTGTGAGGGTAAAATCCTCGTTACTGTTCAGTTGCCTGTGAAAGGCTAGACTGAATGTCTCTGCCATTTCAAGACTAGTAAGAGATTTCCCATCAGAACCCACTATATTGCAAGCTCCCTGGTTGGTCGGTTTTCTTTCAGACATAAACCTGTATAGGCTTTTGGGGTTCACGAAAAGCTTATTGGCGAGGTTTCTCTGAAATGTCCTTCTATCACTCCGGACTCGTATGTTACACCGATTCCTGAGTTCGAGGTACTCTTCATGTTCGGGTTGACTCTGCGATACTCGCCACGCAAACCAGGCTTTTCGCTTCGCCTGTAGAAGGCGTTGTGTCCCCCTTTTTAGCCATGAACGTTGCTTTCTAGCTTTAGGTGTGACCAAAGGAACAGTGTCTGAGATCGCCTGGTGAATGATCTCCTTTACCACTCTCCAGTGTTCTTCTACTGTAAGCTCTGTCCAATTTTTTGGCCAATTTGCTTCAGACAAAAGTCTTCGCATTTCGGTGTAATTGGCTTTGTTATAACACAGATAGGGCTGTGTATTGTCCCACTGTAAACGCTCGCGGAGGACTATGTCGAATGTTATGACCGCATGGTCACTACTACCTATGGGAGTCGTGATCTGAACGTTTTCCACTAGTAGCTGGTCACTAGTGAGCACGTAATCCAGTCTAGAAGACTTCCCATCTGGGCCCCACCTAGTATCCATTCTGACATTTTCGGTGAATCCGGCCTCCGTGATGGTATGCAGCAGATTTCGATCAAATCTGTCCTGGGCACATCCCGTCATCAAGTTAAGAGATGGGGCATTGAAGTCTCCAGCTATGACAATTTGATCATAACCCAGGTCATGTGTCGCTGAAATTGCATTCAGCAGTACCTGGTTGTGGTCTGCTCCACATGAAGGTGATCTGTAAATGCTGCCCACTAGATACTTACAGTACCCAACGGTGAAATGGCACCATATGGAGTCAGGGAGCTCAATGAGGGGAGGGTCGATTGCATGGACACAATGTAAAAACCACTAAAATTTTCATAAGTATTTTCAATGTGCCGATGGAATCTCTAGAACTCTTTCGGGATTGCGAATTCTTACAAACACTGTATACAGAATGTATTATTTGTGTGTGATCTGTGTTTGAGACTTACTTTCTTACTCTTCCACGTCAGTATCACTGTTCTACTGGTGAGAATGAATGATGAAAATACTATCAGATTCGGATTTCTTTTGAAGATGGAGGGTTTCAAGTCCGTGTTAATCACTTTTTGACTATTTACCTTTTCCTGCCTAATTTCTTCTTGAGCCAGCTAATTGAGGGTGTTACTACTTCTTCTGAGGTTCGGTCCCAAGAATTTTTAACTTGGTGGGACTACCAGTACTCAACAGCGATTTAGTTCTGACTTGGCTTTTGGACTCTCTTACTATTTTGTCTGAGTTTTCCTAAATTTTCGAGAGTATGTCGTAGTCTTCTGATCGTGACTTGCCGTGAAATCTAGATCTACGTCTGGCTGAACAGATAGGAGCTGTATTCATTCTCTGTAACATAAGCCGATACTCTGGTGCTCGTTGCATGTGGCCACCTGTTTCTCTGCTTTTTAGAGGACCAAAGAAATTCGTTAAATCAACTGAACCCTTAACTTCTTCGCTTTCAACGATCAATTTTTTTATGTGTTGGTTATATCAGATTACGGGCTATTGGGCCTTCAGGGGTCAAGAGCGCGTTTACTGCACTGTGGTGTTATTGTTTTTACCCAAATTCTCTTCATACTATAGCTAATTAATACATCCCTAAACAGCATAGAGTATTACATTCTCCCTTCGGTACTTGGGATGGTGCCAAGAGCAGCCTGGTCGCTAGGTTATGTGGGCCAGACTAAAGAAACAGAAAGTAGTCTGGCCAAAGGCCGAATTGCCATAGGTTGTAGATTGCCACACAGAAATCGTGATAGTTATTCGTATTCGAATTTGATCGGAAACCAGCTTGAAGTCGTACAAGCAGCCTAACTAACTGGCTTCATAGATTCTTTACACGAGTCTAGCAGTTTGTTGAGATCTTCTTGCAAAGCAAATACGTCGCCGTCACCTTTCGCTCCAACAGTTTACAGTTTACAATTTATTTAGGATAGTAGGCTATATGCCTGTGTTAATCCTTTCGATTTGTTGCACACAGGAGGTCCAATCTCGCCTTGAATGAATCAACGGATGGCGCTGATACGACGTGTTCTGGTAGGGAGTTCCAATGGTTCACAATTCGATGCGAAAGACGGATCTTCAGACGCAGACGATTCGACCGTGGTTTTTGAACCTTGAGGTGATGTCCTCGCAATTGGTTGGTGCTAGAAGGAACAAATAAATTAGATAAATTAGCTCCAAAATCACTTCTTAAGATACGGTATGCTAGTATTAGGTCACCCCTAAGTCGTCTGCATGACAGTGGAAATAAACCCAGTCGCCTTAACCTCTCCTCATAAGAGAGGGTTGATAAACCCTTTATTAGCTTAGTTCCTACTCTTTGCACTCTTTCTATTAAGTTTATTTCGTATTTGAAACACGGGCTCTCTGCCAGGATCCAATATTCCAAATGAGGTCTGATATAAGTCGGATATAATATACGAAATATTTCAGCGTCAAAATTCGCAAAAGCCTTGCGTATGGCCCATAATATTCGAAAACCCTTAGTGGCTGCAGCCCTACAGTTTGTTGCTGTTTTCAAGTCATGCTGCACAACCACTCCCAGTCCTTGTACTCAGTGACCACTGGGGGAGCAATGTCGTTCATTGAATAATTGTGCACGTGACTATGAGATACATGCATAACTACACTCT